TTTTTTTTTTCTTTTGTAAGGGCACTCGAGGAGAATAGTAGTCGGCCGCCGCCGATGTGTAATGTACCTAACGTCATGAACTTCGATCGTCATGTGTGTGTGTGTGTGTGTGTGTTCGTGCCGCGGCGAGAAGCAATCATCACCCGCTCGCCTGATTGCTGTTTTGCCGGCATGGGTGTGAAGACGAGCACATGTCAAGCATGTTGTAACGATGCATCGCCGGTTGGATACGTGGTAGTCTTCGTGTGAGAAACAATGCCCGGAACGAGGCCGTTGCCGATGTTGGTTGGTGCTTTGAGTGCTTTTTTTTGGGATTATTGTGAGAACGGAGTGGAAGAAGGACAAAATTTTGCCGCCGAACAACCATCTCTGGATACTGCACTTGTCCAATATTTGAATATTTTTGTTCGTGTGCCGGTCTATAATTGGTGCGGCATTGCTTGCGTGCGGATGCGTGTGTATGACCTTTTTCGTTTTCATGCCGTCTGTTCTCGTCATTTTTTCGAACTTTCCGAATAATATCGTTTTTTTGGCTTGTCGCTCGTCGTCAACATGTGCATTTCGTTATGTATATGCATATACATTTTCACATGTCCATATCTACTTTTGCCATTAATAAACGATTGAATATAATGAAATTATGAGCACATTGTGAAGCTGTATCACCGCCTATTCGTTGGTCACATTACGAACATTTCACATCACAAATGTCATTCACGTCACGAATGCCAACCATTATCGAAGACATTTCGGTTCGTGACAGTTTCGAAGACATTCACATCACGAATGATAAACACTTTAAAAGATAGATAAAAAAACAAGAGAAATAAAATTAAAACTGACTAGCACACGATTGAAAACCGATTTCACAGAAATATCATTGGAATGGCAACTGATATCGTTCATGAGTGCATAACCTCCTGTCTGCATGTGCAACCACCGTGCTACGCAAATTACCTGACTGATTTCGACAAACGCACATGCCCTCACACATAGGTATTGGAGAGGCTCCATGCGTAGACAAATGGATAGACAGATAGATAGGTAGATAGATAGATCGGTGGATAGATAGATGGGTGGGCAAATAGTAAGATGGACAGGTGGATAGACAGATGGATAGATGGGTGGATAGACAGATAAATAGGTAGCTAGATAGATCGGTGGATAGATAGATTGGTGGACAGATAGTCAGATACGCAGGTGGAAGAAAGGTAGATGTATAGACCAACAGATAGATAGATAGATAGATAGATAGATAGATAGATAGATAGATAGAAAGATAGATATTTAGACAGGTAGATAGAATCAATCTATCTACCTGTCTGACTATCTATCGATATATTTACGTGTCTATCTATCTATCTATCTATCTATAATGTATATATCTATCTATCTATCTACGGCGAGAGGGAGAGAGAGAGAGAGAGAGGGAGAACATTCCGCCGTCCTTTCCTGTTTGTGTCTACGGTGCAGCTCGCGCTTGTCTCCAGGGGTTGGCAGGTGGTCGGCCATACACCCGCACATGGTGATTGTCGTGCGAGATGAGCCTCGCCTTCGCCGCCCTACCCTCTGCGCTACCATACGTGTCGTCCCGACGGTTCTTCCGGGGCTGCTGAACAGCCTGATGGACACGCGGACGTCGTCGACAACGAAAGTTTCCACTGTTTGCTTGATCGTCGTCGTCGTCCGAGTCAAGGTCATCCAAGTCGACGTCGATTCGCATGTCGACCATCATATTGTGCAAAATGCAGACGACCATGAACTCCTTCATGATCGTCTTCATGTTGTCGATTTGCCGCCTCAAGAAATTTCGCCACACACCCTTCAGAAGTGCGAACGTGCGTTCATTGCAACTCCTCGCCAATGTGTGGCAATCATCGAAATTCACCTCTTGGGGCGTGCGCTCGTCTCCTCCAACCGGTGTCATCAGCCAAGGCAGCAATGGGTACCCTGCGTACCCGATAACGTAGCCGCGGACAGGTGTGCCGTCATGAAGAAAGGATGTGCCACCATGGAATATCCCACGCCCGTCCTGCGCATCCTTGTACATGTGTGATATGCGAACGACACGTGAGTCATGCACCGATCCAGGGCACCCCGCGAAAACATCCTGGATCTGACACTCATGATCGCACACCACTTGCGCCATAAGCGAGAACTGCCTCGTGCGGTCGTAGTAGCATTCCGCCCGCTCGTTCTTTGGCTTTTCGATGTATAAATGCGTGCCATCAATCGCACTCACGCACCCTGGGAAACCTTTCTTGTCAAACGCATCCATCACCTCCTGTAGACGGCGACCTTCTGGGAACCTTATGAGGTGGCCATACTCCTTGATGAGGGCGTCCGCAACGTCCTCGTTACTCCTTAACTCACTCGCCAGCCCCATCCCCATCTCGTGGCTCGTCTGCCGGTAATAGCCTCCTGTGGCCCATCTGATCAACGCGCACGCGAACTTCTGTGCAACTGGAATTAGCTGCCTCCAGTTCGTCAACTTTCTCTGAATGTGTGGCGCTATTCGCTGTGCAACTTCATAGAAAAGTGGTTGAGGGAGTCTGCAGAACCGGACGAAGACCTTGTCATGAGCCTCACCGACCTTCTGGAGATCTTTCCACGTCCCACCATGGCGGTCCAGAACCCACATACTCCTGGATCGTCTCCTCCATCGCTTGTTCACGCTGTCCATGGCGGCGGACACAAGGGAAACGCTGTGCAGGAAGCCCCTAGCGAGAAGCAGAAGAACCTCTCCCATTTCAGGGTGTGCAGCTGAACAGGATGAAGCCGCTGCATTGAGAACAGCAAGAGTCGCCCTGTTCCGCTGCATCACCAACTGTATAACAATAAAAACAACCATGAACAAATTGTCGTTATTGTCAACCTCATTGTCGCCTACCACGCCTCGCGCTGCCCAGTCCCCAACGTCTTCTACACCGCTGTCCATGGGCTTCACAATGGCGCACAACCTCTCCCCCTCCACAACACAGGGATATGTCGCAGACGACAGAGACATGCAACCGCGGTGATACCCCGATCCGTAGGCGCGACCTTCAACAACGATCGGCTATGGTGGACACATCGAGTGTGACGAATACGGGTGCATTGCCCGAAACAGCCACGGACTCCGAGAGAGCATGCTCACTGCGCCCCACATCGCCTTCGCCCTTTCCCAGGTGGGACCGTGGAATCCCGTGGTTCCACCGTGGATACAAACAAGGAGGTCGACAACGGTCGAAATGTCCCCTGGAACAACCGCACCGCAACGGCCCTGACCAACGGTCGCAAAAGGGTTGCATCAGTTCCCCAACTGAAGTCGACCCCTTCTGCGGGGTGTTGCCCCACCGCTGCCCCACCCATGATGCCGCACGCCACACAACGTCGCCCAAGGACAGTGGCGCGGAATGACGTCTTGTACCCAGGTCCACATCAGCCTCACCGAACGCCCATAACGCCTTGCCCGAATTGGAAAGTCCTCTGCCACTTTCCTGTTCGGAAAACAGAAACGACAGAGGATGGAAAAAAAAATGGGCGAGGTGGGATCCCCTCCAACTCCGCCTCTCCGCTGGCGAAGGAAAATTGTTGTCGGCGGTGGGAAGGACGAAAATCGTCCGCGCGGCTGTGGGGTCCAACCCTAAATTTGAACCGCCGTTTGGAAAATTGAGGGCGTGGTTGCACTCCTCGCCGTACTCCAAGTTTGGCGAGTTGGCGCCTGGTTGCACTTACTCGCCACGTACTCGCCAAACTTGGCGATACCGTCGACATAAGTTATGGTGAGTGTTTTTTATTTCCCCGTCTGTGCACGGCGGTTTGTGGAGGGTGGTCCTTTGAACCTCTCAACAAACTGACTTCTTTGGCGAGTGCACACCTTCACGGGTGGAGATCAGTCAGACAATTTTTTTAACTTTTTTGTAGAAGAAATATAGCGGACAATAACTGCAACCAGGCCTCCAGTTCGACACGATTCTCAATCTTTTTAACCTCCACCAATCCGCCACAAATTATGGCGGATGGCAAGTGGTGCAACTAGGCCCTGAGGGAGGTACCCATATGGGCTTTGTCAAACCACCAGTACATATGAAGCTAAATGTACAGGGCCTAAATTTGAATTTTCTAGAGCCTCTAAGCTACTGGTACCACCGTTTGTGAAAATTGGAGGGTATCCTTCGGGACATCCGTTAAATTTGGAATGCTACATAGAATATATATATACATATATCCCACCTCTAAATATAGCAATTTCATTGCATACGCAATTGAATAGAGGCCGACGACCTCACAATTTGACACGAAATACTGATATCATCAGCTAGCTTAGCTTACATGCAGTTGCCTGCAAAAAACTCTTTAGCTTTTCTAGATGTACTAGTTACTCGATAGCCCCAATAACGAGTCGTTGGTTGTGGTGCAACTAGATACCAAAGTAAGATTCTAGTCAAAGTAACTTTGTCTAACTACCGCTGCAGACCACTGCAAACCATTCACTACCTAATACACAGGCCCCCCATGGCCTAACACCGGTCTCTACGACCGGTCAAAACCTACTACCAGGTCCCAATGACCCTTTGACACTATGTCGCCCTCCTCCTCTGTTGACCTATCGTGGCCCATGTTGAACCGAGTGCCTTGGTTCATCCTACAATCACCCTAATGTACCACTGACTAGGCCTCAAGGCGAACTACCTTACCCTTTATCTTCTACCTCCCAAATTGTTTAGGTCCAATATGCACTTTGAGACCACTAACCCCTTTGCAGAGTGCTCTATTGAGTTGATGATTCTTCACCTACGTACGAAGAAATCACAAATCTGATTTCTTCTCTCCTTACCTACTATTGCTTGCCTCCTCCAATCTACCCAAATATCGTGATTCAACCCTTGTTTGATGTGTTTTTTTATTTCCACATTTGAGAAGGGTCTTCTTTGAAACCTCAATCTGTTTTTGTCCAGCCAAATGGTTTCCCAAATCAGGTCTTTCACCGCATCGGCAATGTAACCCCAACCACGACATTTCAGGTGCATTTGGCCGTAAGACACTCCTACCAAAGGTGGCGTGTGGATTCGAATGGCCACTTACAATATGTACAGGCCAACTTCACTTTCATTCTCTGACTCCTTAGCAAAACCGCGGACGGGGACACCATCAAAGATAGCAGCCATAATATACTGACATGATTCTTGTTCGGGAAGAGGGTAAGAGTCTCCCACAACCTCTCAAAGTCAGGGGTTGCATCTGACAGATCCTCATTCCATACTGCTTGTCATCGTGGGAGGGTGATTTTAGTTGGGGTTTTCAGGTTTTGTCTGAGTTGTAGATATCCAGAAGAGACAGAGTATTCCTACAGATACAGAGTCGAAACCTTACCTAATCTTGTATACCAACTCCAGGTTGATGGATCTATGCATGACTGTTGAAAGGATACATTTCTTACCTATGATTGAATCTGAGCAGTCATTTTTTTCCTTCATGTTGTTATCACCCGAGCCTATGCAAGAGCATCCCACAGTAGACGGTGTCCTCTTCGACTAATGAAAGAGTGTTCGTAGACCCATCGCATCTCCACTATTCAATCCTCTGAAAATGTTAATTAGTCGTATTTTGAGGTTATATCTGTTCGTGTATTCCAAATTTCATTACGAAAATATACTTGATGATTTCGAGATTTTACTTAGTTGTATTTTGAGGTTATATTCGAGTGTGCATTCAAGATTTCACTACTGAAATCGCACTCCAGGATTTCGAGATTTTACATGGTTATATTTTAGGTTATATCCGAGGTAGATGGGTTAAGGTTTATTATGTAACAATGAGTGAGTGTTTGCCCTTTCAAAACTTGTAATTTCTCTTTCTAACTTTTTATTTTCCTCATTACCTTTTAGTATTTTAACATTCTCCTCTAATAATGTTTCTTACTGCCTTCCTACTCGTTTATTTTTTTTATTTTGAATCATTCTCTTTAAACTGGGAGTCAGGATGGGTAGGTTGAGAGTCCTTAGAGTTAGGTGTTAGAAAACATAGGTTGCATAGCTATACGACTTTGGGATAAGAGTGAAGTAGTTAGGATTGTGTTGTAACCCTTCTTTGACTGTTCTTTGCTAGTTTTTTTTTCATTAGTTTTTTTACAGTAGAGCCAAAACCGTTAGATATCCCCCCGGCAACCTCCTCGCAAGGCTATGATCCACAAGCGAAAAATTTGATTTTGATATACAAGAGCGAGTAATTCGTTTAACTCAGCTAAATCATTAGGTCTGATTTATCTACCTTAATATAATTAATGACCTTTTCATCATGTATGGGTTAAGGTTACCATACGTATTCGTCAAGTAAGAGGAGAAACAGTAATTAATAGTTCCGTGTTGCATACATTGGACTATAATTGATACTAATATAGTGTTTGATCTCTTATTAGGCACACAATTTTATATATTTATTTATTTTTATTTGTTTATAGATGTTTCTTCCCCCTCAACTATTCAAGGTTTTTATTTTATTTTATTTTTTTCACTGTTACAAATTTTATTTTTTTTCTAATTTTTCATCTCTGTAAGATTTTTTTTTGTTTTTTCCACTTCTTAAAGTTTTTTATTTGATTTTTATAACCAACAAATTTACAAGCGGATATATAAAATGATAATATGAATTAGTAAATTATGAAAATACCGAAGTGTGTTTCACAATTAAACATGACGAAGTGAAATCATAATATAACGAAGTGAAATTTCAAAATCTTGCAATAGGTTTTCAACAATGGAATCATAAATGCATGTGGATATAACTACAAAGTTTTATTAAATAAATATCGAATACATGTGTAGATATTACAAAAAATAAGAATGAGCAAATTGCGAAATCGGACGCACATACATACATAACTTCGAAATATAACGAAGTAAAATTTTGAAACCCCGAAATAGCGAAGTGAGATTTCAGTTATAAATCATGAACGTATGCACAAATATAATATTGAAATATGACTACGTAAAATTCCGATGTACGGAACTTGGGTTTCGGTAATGAAATTCATAATACACACGCAAATATAAATAAGTTTAACTAAATCTTGATGAGAGATTTCGGTGCCAAGATTTTGAATGCATATGCGGATATAACCACAAAACAAGACTAAGTAAATCGTTCACTGTCATTCCAACTTTCACTCCAACAACCCCTAGGATAGGAAATCTCCTTCTGCAAAGAAGGCGTCATGCAGATGTACTACTTCCCGTACTCTTTTCCATTGAGGTCATAACACGACACTCATTAGACCTATTCATTGCTTTATACGTCCAACTCAAATAAGTCAACTAGTGCAAGGCAGATCTCACTCTTCCGTGACTATATAACTTAATCAATCACTTAGAACCCAAACTCAAGGATCTCCGCCCATGCTCGTATACCTGTCAGCCTCTTTTTGCCTACTCCTCCGTGAAGTTCCTATGACGTCCAACATACCACCTAAAAGGAGGATTTATTTCTCCTAACTCTTGGCAAGGGGAAAATTCTCTTACTCATCCTCGACCTCATTCCAATGCAAGCGTACCATGCGGCTGTCATGACCACTCAGATGCCTCCTACGACCGTAGTAAGTACCTCATAGGGCCAACTCCCACAATAATCATGCTTCGCCATGTTGATTCCGCCTCATGCAAAACATCATCCAAGCTTGCCAATTATCAAGGTCAGACAAGGTACCAACTCCAGCTACCGTTATAAGTATCAAGGTACGCAAACGCGTAATCGAGACGCTCCTTAGTCTCACGCCACCCATACAACTTCAAACAAAATTAAATCACGTCATCACCCTTCACTCGCACTTTATCCAATACCAGCAACAACTAACCATTCTATCCTTAATAAACCAATCCGACCAATAAAAAAATATTATCGTTTTGCCTTAATCATCAGTCTGCCTCTAACCAAGGCTCGATTTCTAAGGGCCTCATAGTTTTAAGACATCTTCAGTTGATAGTCAAAACTTCGTATAATCAACCTTATAAGTCTAAGGAAAAACTTTCCACTTTGCCTAAATTTTCACATTCCCAAACCCGAATGTCGTTCCACAAGGGACAACGGTAGGCAACCGTTATCCCTAGCAACGGCGCCACCTGTCGAGGGCATCGGTCCGACAAGGGGACCCTCCCGGCCGC